AGAAGAGAAGAAAACCGTAAAAAATATTTTCGATAATAAAAAGGCAAATATCACAAAAAAACGACTCCACGATATATTATTCACTCGTACAAATATAAAATTAGTGCTGACGATAACAATCAACGTTCTTTTTTTCTTTTTTTTTTTCTTTTCTTTTTTTTGGAAGGATCAATTTACGTATTAAAAATTAAAAGCGATTCTTACGCGATTTTACACGAATTAGAGAAGATGTATAAAAGTGATACATACGCGCGAAGACCGTGTAATGATCGTTAATTGAGCTGACACCGGAAGCACAGACTAACAATTTCTAACAAACATTTTCTCTTCTCCCTTTTGTTTTTTTACACCCTTTTTTAATTTATGTTTGGCACATAATGGAAGTTGCCGGCGCAGGATTTATATCGTAAGACGTTAATCGTCCGCGCCATTGCCAATTTTACACATACGTATACAAGTATGTAAGAGAAATATTAAAGATGGGGGATGTGTACGCGTGAGAATTGCCGAAATATATACATATAATGTATAGTAACTGTACAACTAATTTTGGAATTTCATTATATATATCTTGGCGATTCTCGGCTCGATTTTTAATAACAATCTCTCGGTTCAATTTATTTCTCGGTAAAAGAGACTCGAAACGAAGCTTGGACGCAATAGAAAAAAGAAATATCCAACGCGGTACCAAAACCTAATCGTTTCACAATTATGTACAGACTAGTGTACACGTGAACAAATATTTATCTAGAATATAATAATAAAAAAAAAAAGTTGCACAATGCCGCGCGCGCGCATTTCTCTTTTCACACACACAGACGGAGTAATAATTTCATTAAATATCAACGATTGTAAAACACGGTTAATATAAATAACACGAGAACGAAGAGTCTCGATAACGATATAAGTAATAAAAAACGTACGTACAAAAAAACGCACATATCTACTAAAAAAAAAACGATCAAAGAATATGTCTGCCGTTACATCGCGGCGGCTCTTTTGTAATTCGTGAGCCAAACCATAAGCATCCAGGGGTAGGATGGGGGCTAAAATCCGACAGAGAGGAGGGTAAGATCGTAAGATGGCGGAGAGCTGAAGTGGACAATGATGATGAAGAAAGGGAAGGATGTGCCTCTTGATCGAGTCTGGGCTTGAGCTCGCACCTTTTCATCGCTATTTATCTCTCTCTCTCTCTCTCTCCTAGTTACTTTTATCGTATAATAAATATATATTATGTGTGTATATATATAATATATGTCATTATTTATATATTCCACGTAATAATTTCATTTATTCTTTTAACAGAAGCGCGCGCCCGACACCGTCCGCGACGTACACGTCGGCCGTTTCCGTTATTCAGTACTCGCGTAAACGTATACTCGAGAACGACCGGAAGTGTCCGTCGAGGACGATGTCGAGAACGCGCTAGGGAACGTTCGCATCCGTTTGTCCCTTCGCGTTTCCAAGGATTTTCCTTGAGGGAAGCGCCAAGCGATCGATGGTGCGAGGACGTTCGCAGTCGTTTATTTTTTTTTTCTTAAAAAAAAAAAAAAAAAAAGAAAAAGAGTATTACCGACAATTATTTTGGAATCCGAGATTCGCATGCAAAAGCTACGCAACTACCGTGAAATTACCGCGCGCGAATTATAATCGTTACTTTCCGACCCTCGACGCTCTCCACGAGAGTGATCGCGATCTCGATTATTTCCGGACCGCGTTGCGACCGCAAGTTGATATTATCCGTCATGTAGCTTCGAGATTTGGTCACGGATGGGACACGGGAGATCGCGTAATGAAGATCGATGACACGAAAATGCGAAATCGACGGCGTGCGAGATCGCGGTTCGACGTCACACGTGGATCTCGAGAGATGTGCGGGAGAAAGCACGCGATCAAAGATGTTCGACTCTACCTGCACTAATATAATCGTATCGATCTACTTGCATATGAGGTTGATTTGGCTTTGGATCCTCAAAGTGTCCTAAACCGCAAGAGATATTTTCAGAAAACAATTATCTCTGATCGAGGAGTCTGAAGCGAAAACACGTGTTCCCGTCTCAAGAGTGATTCTGGGTACGGCAAAAGCGTACGGGCCGCTGAATTATATTCAGACTCGTTCCTTCTTTCTAAAAATGCAAGTCGAGTATCAACGACACCTACGCTCGGAGGTCTTCTTCCGGCGACTCATTCATCTCCAGATGGGTAGGTATCGTCGATTCTCGAACATGTACAAACGAAAATGTTAAGACCTTTATACGAGAGTGAATATGCATCGTGTTTCGCACATATTGGAAGCATCACGAAAGAGAAGATCTCTCTTCTCCCTGTCGCTTCGTCCGCGTCGCGTATACGCGAAACAGAATGTCACGTATCAATTCACGTTCCCTTCTTATATGAATCATTTCGTATAAAACTACATTTTTTTTTTCACCAAAAGGAGTATATAATTTCGGCGTGGAAGTACTTGCTTTCAACTCTTCGAACCGCTGTCGCACAAGTCGGTCCCCGTGATACCAGGTCGCACTTTCGTTCGCAGTCAGTCCGAAACGAAGTAACTAAGCTCGCGAACCGGTCGCGAAACGCGTCGAGACGCGTGTATAATCCGCATTTTTGTTTGCTCTTTTTTTTTTTAGAAAAAACTCTAACAATCGGCCTAATATTATTTAGTCGCGCATCATCGCGCATAGTAATAATTTATAATAATAATAATAAAATTCTCTTCGCGTATTTTTTTTTCTCTCCCTGTCTCGCGTGCCTCGCTTCTTTTTTTTACGTCTTTTTTAAATATAAAAATGAAAACTAACGTATTTATCTTTGGCTTGTTCCCTTTACCAATCGGCGGCAGCTTTTGCGGCTGCGGCGCGTGCATCATTATTTTTTTTTCTTCTTCTTTTGTTTAAATAACTTTTTTTTTTGTACAGTTTTGTACACTCGGGTGTGTCTGTGTACGCGCGTGCGTATCTTCTTCATCTTTCCATGTACGTAATCTTTTTAGGATACGTGAATGTATGTGTGTGTCTGTGTGTGTGTATTTGTGTCGGTGTATCTTGTTGAATTTTAACGTACACGTCTTGAAGCGCGCACAAATAGACTTCTTTGAGTACGAATGTGTGCTACGTTTTATTGTGTCTCTTTCTTTCTCTCCCTCTTTCTCTCTCTTTCTCTCTTTCTCTCGCTCGCTCTTTTCCTTTCTTACTGTCGTGTGTCTTGTTTCTTTTTTTTTTTTTGCAAGTGTATCGATTTGCAAGCTGGTTGAACACAGTGTGTGGCCCAGCCCCGTATACGTCACTGACAGCTTCGCGCGCCCCGCGATGCTCCGCGTCCTTTCGACGACGATAACGACCACGGCAACGCTCCACGTTTAGTGGATCGGCGATTTTACAAGGTCCGGTGGGATGAAGTGATACGCGGGCATAGGCACCCCCGATGTCTCCATCGATATCCTGAAACACAGTCAATTGGCCCGTAAGAGATAACACAACGTCCATTCATATCATTGATGATTGCGTCTACCAAAAGGACAGAGAGAGAGAGAGAGAGATTGAAAGAGAGAATTTGAATAATTTTATCATTCCAATGTCAATCATAGCTCGCAGAAAAGGTATTAAAAGTTTTAATACCTCATAATTAAATTAATTCTTCCGATGGATCTGTCTTTCTCTCTCTCCCTCTTTCTCTCTCTCTCTTCTCGTGTTTATTAGGAAAAAAGTTTTGAATAAAATTCCGAAACGTTTTCCCGCGATATCGGAGGAAAAGATTAATTACACATTACGTCGATCTTTTCGTCCGAGTATCATGATGTTGTCCAACATTTAAAAGTATAACGCGCGTGAATCTCTAATGATTCTCTGACTCTCGCGTTTTAAATTGCATGCCCGGTCTACGAACCATCGCACAGCGATGGAGTGACATTATACACTCGAGCTGTGTTTAAATTCGACCTGCAAAATAAAACTGTTACTATCAGGTAACAAAAGGCAACGTTACATTACAACTTTGATTTATATAAATCTTATCACGGATCTCCCGCAAGGATTCGGATGGTTGACCGTAGAACACTTGGTATTTAAAAAAAAATTAATTGCGCAAGACGATTGAATTACAAAAAAAAAATAAAATAAAATAAAAAAGTAAAAAAAAGTAAAAAAAAATTAAACTTCGCAGCCAAGGATAAGTTAATTAACAGGACTACGAAGGAACGGATGGTGCTTACCAAAAAACGGGCAGGAGCCTGGGTCAAGTTGGTTGGATGGATACATCTTCTCTCTCTCTCTCTCTTTCTCTCTCTCTACATCTCGCTTTCGAGTTTCTCTCCGAATCTTGATTACGTTTACACTTTAATAGTGAGGCATATACGTACGTATATGCCTCGTATTTGGTGGCTCGTATTCTCAAAATACATTGAGCGTTAAAAGTAGTCGAATCCGATAATCTGGAATCTGTCGTGATATAAATGTTGCGTAAAAATGACGCTAAATGTACTAGAATACGGCCAATTACGTAATATATATATATACAGAAAAATTTTATATACTAAATGACACATCGATTTCTTTTGAAACGTGACTACTGTTAATGGCAAAGTTAAGAAAAAAACAATGGGCTGAAGAAGCCATGTTTGTGTGCCGCATGTTTACAATATAACAAACTGAGATATCTTCATGTGTAAGATATCTCTGTGTGATCGATTCAAAAAATGTGTGTAATCTTATAATTATTATCAAAACTGTGTGTGTGTGTGAACAATGGGTATATCCTTTTAATTATAAGAGAAAATTACCAAAGGATTTACGCGAGATGTCGTATTTGAAAGGTACTAATAAAACGTTCAGGTGCCGTAAAGGTGGTCGCGCAATATATTGGAGATTTCATTTCCGATCGTTCGAGAGATTTGTTTCTTTTGCGTAAAAAAAGTCTTGGAGAAACAAACATTTTCCGCTATAAACTATCAGTCGTCGTAGACCAATGCATTGCGGGACCTCACTCGCGGGAACGCCAAATTTTGGTTTATTCGGTATTGTATTTTCTCTTACTCTCTATTAAACACGCCTAGCTTTATTTATTTAACAAGATGATACAGGACACAAAGCTAAAGTCTGATAGTTAAGCATTATAAGCTCTGCGACATTGTTATAGAGACTAATGTACAGTTGAAGATTATTTGCCTGTAAGATTTTATGCACGATGATATAGAAGTACCAGGCGTAGCGATAGCTCTCTTTTAAATTAATCGAGAGTATCTTAATAGAGAAGTTTAGTAGATTTTCATTTACTGTTCCAGGTAATTTAATTATTACTGACAAGTAACAATAGTCTTAGATGAAACAATGAGATGGAGCAAAAATTTGTGAAATTCTGAAAATTATATCAAATTTTCACACGTGTTTGGATTTTGCCCTTGCATTTGAAATGACATTTCTTGATTTCTACGCATCGCTTCACCTGATACAACTACGGAGCACTGCGTATTCTCTGATGCATCGTCGATCTCTCTCGCGACTTTTCCTTTCCTTTGAACCGTGAATAGTTGCTTAGCTAGTCGGAGTTTTATTATTGTCGATCGAGAAAGAAATAGAACGAAACGATACAATTTAAAATCGAGAACGCAATGAAGATATCTCGCGATCATGGATTGATTCGAGCGAAAGTATAATACTTTTTTCTACAAACGAAATGAATTTCTCAGAATTGTGATTACGCGATTGTATATTTTCCGATCGGTCGTGCGTACTTGTAAGTATACACATGTTTCGCTAAAAACTAGTATTGAGCACATAAACACTTATCTTGGCGACTCCGAATCTTATCGATCATTTATCAGCGATGAGACACGCACCTCGAACAGTCGGAAAGTTTTCTCGCTCTTTTCCCCCGCAATTGCTTAGATTTAGCTGATCGAACATTCTTTTGCGACTAGATGATTTCGTATTTTTTTTCATTATTTTTTTTTTATTCTTACAGAACATTAGACTAACAAGACGATTGAATTACTGTGGAATTAGAAATCTGATTGTGTCTTTAATGTTTATATATTTATATAGTGTTTTATTTTAGTTTGATTTCACAAAAAACGTAATTTACACGCGAAACTGTATAGATCTCGCTTGTCTCGCGAGCACAGATGCATAAGGATTAAGTGTAATTACCGTTACAACAATACAATCACTATGTGTGTATAGCTTGATTGAATATTTCAAATAGCGATGATCGGTTATACGTATAATGCTTCGCAAAATTCTTCATGCTCGTGCCGTAATAAATTTTCTCCGATCGCTCGGTTGCAGATCGTTCTTCTTTTTTTTTTCTTTTTTTATTTTATTAATAAGAAAGAAGACTGCAAAAGTCATTCGAAACACGTTACATGATGTGGTGCATTCTTTCAATATGACTTATAAAGAATGATAAACACATGATTCAAGATGATACCTTTCACGCATTTTCCCTTCCACCTCTCTGTGCTTTTTCACACACATTGTTTTTTCACTCGCGCAAAACTTTCTTTTTTTATCTATTGATAAAATTTTTATCTACTATGAGAAAAAAATCACATCGGAATAGCTACACTAGAATAATAGTTTTTGCTCAAACAGTAATCAATTAAATTCATAATAATATTATAATCATAATTATGTTAATATAATCATAATAATTATATATATATATTTATATAGTTTTATATCAAAAAAGGCTGTCTTTGCGACGGTGCATGAGCGATCGCGTCCTCCGAGCGTTCATACCAAAAATCGCTTGTACAAAATGAAACGCAAATGTCGAATACAATTTTATGTTATATAATCGTAAGAAATCCCAAAAGAATTGATTATTAATGATTTCCGTTACATTTTCGTTACTTGTACAATCAGTCTTTACGCGACCGCGTCGATCTCGGAGGGCGTGTCACGATAGTATATGTTTTTAAGACTTAGCATTGGATCATATAGATTTGATCGGTTTCCCTAATAACATAAAAAATTTCAATTTTTTCCATCAATCTTCTTTCCTCCCTATCCAAAGCTAATGTAAAAATCTAAAAAAAGAAAAAAAAAAAAAAACAAATAAAAATTCTACAAAATGTTTCCGTACAGTGATGTTTAGGAGAAACTTAATCATGAATACGAGTAAGTGAAGCATCGTTATTTTCTCAACAAATTAACCTTTTGATCGACCGAGATTAATCATTGATCATGGTTGTCAAAAATTTTTCGCAAAAAAATTATTCTCTCTGATTCTACATCGACTTATATCCATATAAAAAAAATATATATGCTTCCTCATTTTAACAATCATTTTTAATATTACTATTAACAAAAACAACAAATATAGATCCTTCGCCAAGTCTTTATACTCGCTACCCTGGCGTCCGTACGCACGTTTAACTTGAGTGTTATACAAGTACTCGCTACGTATAGATGTAGATGTGTGTAGTGTTTTCCCACTGTAACACATCATTCCGCCGCTTTTTCCAGTCCGTTTGTTCAATAAGGATTGTACTTGGTTCGCTCGGACTTGAACTTGCCGCTGTCGGTCGGGCCTGGAGCGCCCGGGCTACGAAGCCTCGGCGTAAAGGTCTTGTGCGATCGGTGCACGCCGGTGGTCTGGACCGGGAGTGCGGATGCAGCCGCGCCAGCAGCACCACCTAGCAATTCCGTGAGTCCGCCGAGGGCGGTCAGGCTAGATAGGGCGTTGAGGGCGCCTGGCTTGCTTAGCAGCTGAGCCAAGGGAATGGCGCTGGCCAAAGGAGAGGCAGTGGTTGTGGTGGTAGAGGGGGAAGCACTGGCTCCGGATGCTCCGGGAGTGGTACCGCTGCCAGGGGTTTGGGTATTTTGGGCCTCTAGGTTAGCTTTCTGCAGTTCGACACTGGGGAAAAGACACAAAATGTAAAAAGGTGAGGGCAGGAACGTTCCTCGTAAAATAGTGTCAAAGAGATTAAAAAAAAAAAAAAAAGTAAAGAAGATAAACATAAGAGATGACAAAAAGTAAAGAAGAGAAATGTAAAATAGTAGTAATAGTAGCAGTAGTAGGAGTAGTAGTAGTAACAGTAGAAGTAAAGTAAAAGTAGCAGTAATAGTAATAATAGTAGTAGTAATAGAGTAGCTGTTGCGAAGAGTTATTGATCAAGGCGACATAAAAAAAGAAAAAATAAATAAATAAATAAACTATCAGAAAGAAGATAAATTAAATCACAATTGTAGGCTTAGAGAGTTACGCCAGAGAAGTGCTCTGTGGAGCATGGTGATTATCACGTACACCGGCTACGTGGTTCGTGGGGAAATTTTTGTCTTAATCAGGCCGCATTTAGACCCTGATGTTCGGGTTCGTGATAGACAACGGTTGAATCGCGCCGTGATTTGAGCCGAGACTAAGGCATCGACGAACGAGCCAAACGTGTCCGTAGAAACGAGAACCGCGAACACACCGGGACACGGGGTCGAAATGCGTCCTAGATCGCAGAAAACGCGCAACAAGGATGCATACGAAGAAGAAGATAAATACGACACGCGTTCGCTGGTCTACTTTCAGATCCAGGTCACATCTACCATACCAAAAGTAGATTTGCGAACGATGCGATTTTGTCTCTAGGTGTAACGGGCTCATGGTTCGTTGTACAGACAGAGGCCACCTGTTTAGAGGACACCCGCATCCCTCTCATGAATTCATCGTGCGTAGGATAATCGATCTCTGCGTTGGTAGAACGAACCATAGCCTCGGTTTTTTTTTTTTTTTTATAGAAAAGATAGAAAATCAAAGTAAACCAGACGCAACGATATGCATTCTGCCATATTAGCGCTGCTATTGATAAGACAAGATCGCGAGACTACGCAATGTGCGCTTTATTCGCAACATCGAGAGGCCAGAGGCTGGTACCAAAGAGATGGCAGAGTGCAAATCTTGGCTCCGATGGGAGTGCTGGGATATACGATATGTAATAAATACGATGACAAAGTTTTAACGGGTAAAAATACAGAAATATTGAAAGATGAATATATACGGTATCACTATTTATATGCAGTAGTAAAATGTGAGTGGCAATCTGGAATAAAATATAATGGATTATAATTATAAACGTGAGGGATATATGAAAAAGTATGTGTCGATCCGCGGCTTTGAATTGTACATTCGGCTGATGTTGTAGAGTCTTACGCGCGGATTTTACTTCGTCGTCCTCGAATCTGCTCGACGATTATATACGTTAGTACCGTTCACCATTCTAATGTCGCTCTGATGAAAATAGATTAGTCCCACAGCGCGTAATTAAAAAAAAAAAAAAACAAATAAACAGGTAACAGACTCGAACACCGATCAATGAACATTAAGCGATGACGATAACAGCGATGAAGCGTATAACTAAAATGTAAAGATTGCTATGACAAGGTTCCTGGCAAGGACGAGGAATTGTTCACATTTATCGCGTAAATAAAAGCGTTATTTTTGCATGATACACATAATGCATGTCAAGTGCCGGAAAGATACTCGCTCCAAAGACAATTGCATGATTTTTCGTGAATTAAAAAATAAAATTACAAGCGAAAATGCTATGCCAGTCGTCCGTTTACCGGGAGCCTGTCCCTTTTAAACTAGAAAGAAAACCGTGTCATTAAAAACCGAATCGAAAGGAGGAACTGTGATGCGTTTGTTTGGGACTGATTTCGGGATTAATTGTCACTAACAAGCGACAGTCCTCTTACATCTTTCTTTTTTACTATGTTTTTTTTCAGTCGGTAAGTTTATTTTTGCTTGAAAGGACAGCCAGCGACAATGGGAACAGATGTTGAGCGGAGTTGTGTCTGCAGGATACTCGGGGTGGTACTGGACCTGGAAGACAGGACCTGGAAATAAAGGATTAAGATCTCCTCTTCCTCGTGTGGCTCGACGTGTAGTTGTCTTCCAGGCAATCTGCATCTACGCGAGCACCTCCTCTGAAATCCGTCGACGTCGATGCCTCGACGTCTTCTCGTCCCGCATCTTTACCTTACGACTATCGTACGACCTGTGCTTCGCTGTAAACTGAGGTGGCGTTACATGACGATATACTTTTCACTATCCATTATTAATCTCTCGAGAAATCATCATTTTATAGTCTCATCAACGTGAAATATGCGCGTGCATTCTACAGTGATATCTTCTTCACAGTAACACCACCTCTTCTATAACATTTCTCACGGCCACACGCGGCAGAAACGACTTTTTTCCTGTAGATTCTTGTTTGAAAAATACAATAATCTTTTCAATATCCGTAATATTTCGTTTGTTTAAATTGTAAAATTCTTTACGATTTTAAATGAAACTGTTCCTTGAATACAAAGTCAGTTTAAAATCCTATCTTTGATTTTATTCTGATTTGTAGTTTGCAACATATCCATGCAAGAACCTGATGGGTAAAGAAAGATGAAAGTCGTCTATACGCGGGTTGCCGTGAACAAAGGTAGCAACGATGATGATGGGATATGTCGCGAGGGGAGTGCCGATTCGACTATGCCTTATATAGTCTCACCATTAAGACACCAAAAAGTGAGGCGACAGGTTGCGTGAGGAACGAGTAACACAAACAGGCGAATCGGCGAGTTTTAATTTATGGAGCTTAGAGGAAGAAGGGCAACGAGAAAACTCTACATCGGCGACACCGGCGCATTATTTGATCTCCGGTGAATAGAAGAGATGCGGGAGGAAAAAAGAAATAAAAAAAAGATCAAGGGGAATGCATTTCGCGATCCACTGCAAAACGTAGCCGGGACGAGTTTAACTGCTTCTAATTGGAAGTGAAATTTGAGACACCGAATGCCGAACCTCGGGCGAACCTTGGGGGACAGGAGCGGCTCTTCCCTCCTCCTCCCCATTCGGTCCGGGTCCCTAAGGTTGACCTTCGGTTAACTGGCGAGCCTGAGGAAGTAGCGTACAGGCCCCGCGCGATGGTACTCACCTCATATTGATGAGATACTGTGCTAACGCCACGGCGTCCGGATTCCCGGTTATGGTGATGGTACGATCCGTTGCTCCGCCCTCCCTTTCCTCGCAGTTGCTGATTCTGATCATGGCGCCCGAGATCTGACGGATCTCGGCGATTTTGGTACCGCCTTTTCCGATGATGCAACCGATCAGCTCGTTTGGCACGGTCATCTCGTGTGTCTGATTGTTCGCCGCCGGTTGCTGCCTGTTTGTGTTGCTCGTACGCAGCTGGCTCCCAGCCAATGCAGCTAACGCTACAATCATTGCACAAATGTTAGAAAAGATTCGACATGGTCGTAAAGTATGAAGAGAAATTGCCTCGTGTAAAAAAAAAATATTTGAAAAAATAGAGGAGAGATAAATTTCTCTTATGATAATTGAGCAATTTCTCCAAGACTGCTCTCATAAATTAGTCGCGTTAGTTGAAGTTTATTGATATTTACATATTCCATCTTTTTCCATTTCTATCTACTATACTTTATCAAATTTTCCTGTCAATTAAGCTTTTAATTGTTAAAAAATAGACTGATAATAAAAAGCAGAATAAAAAGAATTAATTTAAATACATACAAAGTCACCTTCTTGTGAAAGACTTAAAAATTGAAGAGAATATTTTACGAGTATTTTATTATATCACATTAAAATATAAAACAAGAATGTCTTAGAAAGAATAACATTGACAAATACTCATCCTTGCATGATTTTTCGACGCTGTATTTGCTTACCTGCTGGATTAAGACCACCTGTGTTCGCTGGTGTTGCGAGTCCGCCGAGACCCAAGGCTGCCAGTCCAGCCAAAGGATTGCTGCCCAGTTTGCCCATCTGCAACAACGACGATGCGATCCATCGTTCAAAAATAGGTGCCGCGGGTAAAGAACGAGCAATAATCACTCGGGGTGTGCGCTTCAAAAAGGGAAGGGTTTACGACGACGACATCGAAAAAATAATATATATCTATGTTCTTTGAACCTGTGTCCGCCACCTCGCGCGTCACACGCTCGAGGATCTTCGATCGCGAGCAAAAACTCTTAGCTCAGGGGCAGGCTCACCGAGAGAGATTATTCAGATTTTACACGAGCGATAAGGGACACGCGCAACTGACGACGATTCGTGTCCATCATCTCGGACATATATCGCCACGCAAAACTCTCCGGTCTCTTCGCGATGGATAATAATCCTCCCGACTTCCAAGGACCGGTCCGACAGCTTAATACAAGCTCTACGATAGCCATTTGTGAGCATATCGTTTCCAAAGATATTCAACCCAGAGCCAAAGCTTGAGAAATGTAAATAAAATATTGTCAAATTTTTTTTCTCTTTATAATATTTTTGTCAATAAATTGCCGAGGAATTAAAGTAATAACTTGAAATCAAATTGGAAAAGGGGTCAGAAGAAATTCTGGTTAATTAACATTTAAAGAAAATTGTTATTAAGAGTTCTCTATTTTTATTCCATCAATATTGAAACGTAAAATGTCATGAATTTTTTTTTATCATGAAGAATTAAGGATAAGAATTTTGTTATTCAATTTTCAAATAATTTAGATCCACGCAATTTATCGTTACTTTAAATTTATTATTTTATATGAATGTTCGCTAGAGAGATTTTCTCCTAATGTCGTAGCGTATATTCCCGAGTATCTATCGCAAAGATTAGTATATCTCTGAAATGAATTAGTGATATATTCCGGGAAATTTCTCTGGGTTGAATAAAGAGCATGCGACGCAAAATGACCATCGATAAAATCGAGCTAGTGGACCGTGCTACTTCGAAAATCGTGGCAGAAATCACTTAAAAGTAGCCTGAGGAGGGGACGTTCAGAAATTACAGAAAGAGAGAGCGAACGAGACGGGGAGAGAGAGAGAGAGAGAGAGAGAGAGAAAGAGAGAGAGAGAGAGAAAGGACGCGTATCCTTGCACTCTCATTATATGATGCTGTTAAACCGCACGAAATAATCGCGATAATTCTCTTCCGACCGTTTCCATTGTACACGATGCGCTTACACGATATTCGATATCTTTCCATTTGCATCGCGTATCGCGCTTTATAGGATATAATTCGCTGCCATCTTCATCTACGATACGATTACCGCAATTGTATAATTATTATTATGCATAATTAGAAAGTGACAAAATCATCAAATTAACAACTTTGAAAAATGTTGAACTTATATTAATCGTTTTAATTTGCTGCAATAATTGTCTCATAAATATTACAATAAGCTAATCGTTTGAAAAAAAAAATTTACAAAGAAAAAATTTGAAGAATAATTGCATCTGCTAATTATACTAATAATAATATTTTATCTTTACTCTTCTTGAAAAGAATAAAATGAAAGGCGATTGGGAAGGAACGGGAAATGCAGATACATAGGTACATTGTGTCCTTACACGAATAAATAAATTTCACATTCTCTATCAATGTCGTTATCTAAACTAATTTGTGTGCAAAATTTCTAGCATACAGCGTGTTGCACTGTATATATAAAACACACCTTTTTATATGTACATATATATGCACATGGGTATAATATATACGTAAAAAACTTTTGATCTGATATGTTTTCCATTAGTAAAATTAGATATTATCATGACATATCTAAAATATGTATGCAGAATCTCTCAATCTAAAAAATTTATACATATTATATTATATATTCTCGTTGAATTGTTCAATTATATTAGTTAAAAAAGAGGATATCGAGAATCGTTGACAATAATAAATTCTCTGAAAAATATTAAAATTAATATTAATAGAAATATTATTAAGATCTAGATTCATGAGTGTGCAAACGCTTCTTTCATAAACAACCGTCTCGATATGATCTCTAATATGCCTAAATAGTGGAAACGTAATGTTACAGGGCAGCCCACCCTTACGCGAACTCGTCGCTGACTCTTAGCTAAAAGAGTGTCGGAAGCCATGCTGTACTAAATAGGATGCCGAAGGAACAATGGGCAACTCAGGATGAAGGCGAAGAAACGAACAAAACGTAGCTCGACAGTTTGACAAGAGCGATATTAATGTATGTGTATATGTGTGTGCGCGCGCTGTATGTATTTATGGTCGGATGTGTGTGTGTGTGTGTGTGGGGATTTTTCATTTGTTATTTTTCACACAATTGAAATTAAACACAAATTCACGGTTACATGGTAAATGGGTGTAGTTGATTCTTTAGAAAAATTGGCGCGATATTAATAATTTTCTCTCGAAAATTTACTATCGTAGTTAAAGAAAAATTATTTCTCTTTTTCAAACATTTTTTTAATCTCTCGAAATAAAATATTTCCAAATCAGTATATATGTAGGAACAAGCGAGCCAAGCTACAATTTTGTAATTTATATATATCTGTAAAAATAAATGAAAAAAGAATTTTAAATTAAAATTACACAGGTTAAAAAAAATCATTATTATGTCTTTGTATAAAATTTAATTTTGTAGATAGCTCTTTGTAGATAGCTCTTTGTATATTCCCAACTATTTAAAATTTAAAAACCATTGATACAAATATGTAGATAAATAAATATGGCATTTTATTAGTACGATAATTAATATCTATCGAGAGAAAATTTGCAAATTAATTCCAATAAACAGTATTTCGCGTGATTTAAATCATTTTAAATTTATCAATAAAATCAAAATAATAATCTTTTGTGACATGTAGTTAAGTTCAAATTTCAAAGTATCGATTAATTGTATTCAACTAGGAGCCAGAAATAAAATTTAGAATAATTAACAAAAACTGAATTTAGATAAATACATTTGCAGTTTCTCTTTTTCTTGAGTTTTTCTCTTTCTCTTGAGGGAAATTCGGTTTTCATTGTTATTGGGAAAGGAAAGTTAGTTTTCAAAGGAGGACAGGGGGCAATTTTTCTCGTGAGAGAAACCGTGTGAAAGAAAAATAAAAACAGAAACATAAAATCGGTGTACAAGGACAAAAGCGAAGTAGTATGTGTATAGTAATCGTGTACTGTAAGCCGTAGAGTTTATATCAAGCAGACTGAAAAACTGAGAAAGAGTATTAAAGATGGGATCGTGAAAAAGAGTAGATATAAAGCGCAATAGAATAATAATAATATACCTAGGTAATCTACCTCTTTTCGTGCCACGCATGCATATATCTGTTCGTTTGTGATTTTGTCGTAAATAGATTATTCATCGATTTTTTTGCCAATCAAACCGCCCCTTTCAGCCACGTCTCTCGAAGTTACCAGATAACAAGATCGCGAACAGGAAGAAAGAGGAAGAGAGAAAAAAAAATAAACCGTGGTTAAACCGCAATATATTATCCGAAAAGTCAATGGGAGACGTTATGAATTATGTTATGGAAATGTATTTCTTTCTATCGCGTTTATTTAATTTTATTTCCGGGTAAGCAAATCGGACTCGAGGAAGTCGGGCTCCGTGTTGGTCATCGGTCGTTGAAAAGCGCACAGAAAGAGAAGATAGGACAGAAGGTGAGATGCAATGATAATGCCATCCTGATGCCTTGTCAAAACATTCGTATGGATTTCGATTTCCAAAATTTCGAAATTTTCGGTCAGGAAATCCAGTTTGGATGTTGAATTATTTGAATTGTGAAAAATTTCCTCCTTGTTTAATATTAGAACAAATCGACAAGATGGAGGACTTGAAATAAAAAGAATTGTTTCAATCGACTTGCGACATAGTATCACGTAAAATTTAATCGCATACTTTTCGTTAAAAGAAAAACTTATTTCAGAATCATTTTATCCGAATGTGATCATTTCAAGACATAATTTTACAATATTTTTCTATTAAATTATAAAACACATCAATATAGCGGAAATAAATTTTAAATTGAAAAAATACAACACAATGTTTGAAAAATAAACTTCCCGTCGCATTTTTTCTCGGTCGAATTGATCGTATGGACATTTTGATCAGAATAACATTTCATGGCGTTTCTGCCGATCGATCGGCCGGACGAGTGGATTTTTCAGAGCATCATCCACTGATGGCTCGGATTTATAGTGTCGACTTATTTAACGAGATATCGACTTGGCCTCCTCATCGATCATTCTCAACTATTCGTCGAGACCTGTGGCGATAACACATCTTGGGACCTTCTGTGTATGTCTCTCTGTCTTTCTCTCTCTCTCTCTGACCGAATCCAACGACAAGCCATGACGAATCCATTGTGCGACCCGTGAGCAAGCATTCATGCTAAGCAGACTCGATCGTTTGGCGCGCGAGACTCGGATCAAATCTGTATATTTTGCCTCCAAAAATTCCTCCCGAGAGCGCTTTTGCCGCTCTCGGACGATGATCGTATCGACAGATTACTGCATTTGCTCGATGCAATCAATCTGTATCAGATACAAATGACAGAAATCGATTAATTCTGGGCGCATATTCTGTATCTTTCACATCTAAAAATATACGTAGGTCTATATATAGAAGAATGAAACAGTCAATACGATCATCAGTGGAACGATGTAAATGCAACGTTTAAATGCACGACGAAAACTTTCAGATACCAAGTTGCAAATGGATAGATTCAAAATCACTATATATATATATGCCAATAAAGAGAACATGACAACTGATTAATTGCTAATATAAAATAAAATGAATGGAAAATTAATTTCTAATATTCAAAATTAGATAAACTTATAATTGAGAATCGACAATTAGATAAACTTATAATTGAGAATCGACAAAAATCAACAACTTATATCATTATTAAGATCTATTTGTCAAAATTGAATGTAAATATCGCATGCTAAAGTCAATTGCCAAATAAATCTCCATAATGGCGAGCCAGACATCGATCAGGAGACGCTACAAACTCTCCTTGTTTGCGCTTCAACGTGGTATCAGAGTTTATATTGTGTCGTGCAAACGCACTCCTTGGCATGCATCGTTGAATTTCTTGCACTTGTGAAAAAAGACGATAAGCAATTTCTTAAGGTGATCAATTCACTACCCAAATTCGCAAGCATATTATGGGAAAGAGATACGTGTACGCAGGCTCTGGTCGAACTTGTTAGAAGCGTCTCGGTGAACGTTTAAAACTTAGAAAGAAAGAAAAAAGTAACCCAGAAAGAGAGAAAAAAGCATGCACGTAACGTCACGTGCGGATCACATGAAAAGCAAAGCTGGCAAACTTCTCGCGCGACTTCGCTAACATCGTAAAATTGAAAGATATTATTTTCAAAAGAAACATCGGTGATTCGAGATTTGCAGAGAAACATTCTCTCCATGATTAATTAAAGAAAAGATTGCAAATATACTTTCATATTCTTGACGAGAAAAATCTTCTAATAATAATGGTCGAGATGGCAAAGCAATTCCTGATAAAAAAAAAATTGCGCGTAGAGAGACTCGCTATTAAGTATAATTATGACAGGTGTATCTTACTTCGTTCCGTGATGTTTAATCAGATGTTTCCGCGCAGTCGAAGTCACGCGATTAGAAAATGTTTGAAGGTACATACGATCCGAGCTAATCGTACAACAGGATTTTCCATCGTCCCACTCGCAGTTGACGACAACTTGCAAGATGATGGGACACAAATATTCCTGAATAAGAAACTCGGAACCGTACGGAGGACTATCGAGCAGAAAGCCAAGATGTTGATGCATGTACGCGGAAACGGGAAGGGACACAAGGGATAGCAAAGAGTTTCAAGAGAAGGAGATCAGGTGTGATTCTAGACAATAGTGAGATATAAATATTATTATGAGCTTGCACGCGGCATTTCGGGTTTGAAATTGAAACGATTTTAAATTTAGAGTTATGTCGATCGTAAATTTTGTCAACCATATATATTGTAACCACATTATTATGTTGTTTATTGCTTCTGTACTCTATGTTTATTGTTTATTGTAGTCTATATGTAAATAGTCGTAAATAGTCAGACTCGCCAAAGAGTTACTTTGATGTAATTAGACATCGTCTCGTGATTCTGCGCATAATCGAGAATGATATTCACCGTATATTGCGTGGAAACATTGAACGATTGATTCTTTAATTCATGTGAAATATGGAGGTAAAATTATATATTGATATAATTTATGCAGTTATTTATGTATATCGATTGTGAATATATAAACGATGAACTTTAAGCTCGTAAATGACTGTACATATTTTAAAAATTGTCTTCTTCCGACATAATCTTTTGAAATAACGTTCCATCGTTTCAATTCTAAATTGGAAATTCATTGCTGGGTATTAATCTTGAGTTTAATACTTGGCCTTGTGCAATTCTCAGAAAATCTATCCTAGTCAGTGCAATATACTATTCATATTATTCAATCTAATACATTGTTTTAATGATATTTTATTACAGAGAAAAAGAAGAGAAAAAAACTTAAGCGCGAATTAAATCAACAAATCATGGATAAGAGCAATCGCAACTATAGATTTTTTGAATATTGCTAGTCTATAATTTAAACCGCTGTTTATTTGCTGTCGCAATAAACGAGTAATTGCACGGTTGACCATTCGTTAATTTAAAATCTAAAATTTCTTACCTCGAGATTGCTAACTTAACCGCAAAGCAATTCTACTAATGCCGAGAACAAGCGTTGTTTCACCGCACGAGTGATTTCTTTTAACCGTGTAAAAAAAACAATAAATATTGAAAATAAATGATGAATTTGTATGGCTACGATAAAATACTAAATGTTTTAATTAGTTGTTTATATTATTAATTATTCAACATAACCGATCAAATTTTTAGTCACTTTGCTAATAAATAAGGATACTTTTTCCAGAAATATCTGACCTTTTTCATCTCTAAACCGTTTCAATTTCGAACCATTTGCCATCGTTGGAGTGAAAAATTTGGATATACATCAAGGATCGTGTACAGTGAAGAGACATTGAATAGGGGGTGTTGTATCAATTTTTTTGGACAAGTGGGTAACGGAAATCCATCGTATATGTTATTCGGGGAGATATGGCGGTGGTAGCCAAGGGGTATCGTGTGGTCGAGAAAAGGTACGGGGCGAGGATGGATCACGAAAAACAAAAGACTTACGGCGTCTGCCACGAGGTGTGCGGGCGGGAGGGCTGCCTGCAAGTGTCCACTCTTCAGCAGGGGGTCGGCGAGGCCTGCCACGCTGGCGTGTAAGGGGCTCGGATGGAGAGGATGATGGGGGGTCGTAAGGTGGGCCGTGGATAGGAGCGGGTGCCCGTGAGAAGCGGCAAAGGCCGAGGACGAGGGGTGAGCCGCGAAGGGCGAGGTCGCCAAAGTTTGGGTGTTCAGCGAGGGTGGAGCGGGCCCGGCAGCGGGCGCGGGCAATGGTAATACTGTACTTACGTCCGAGTGGGCGGGCACCGCGTAATTACCCTGGATGGTGTAGGCTTGCCCACCAGCCAGGATCACTGGCCCACCGACTTGGGGTTTGGGGCGATAAGGGATCGTGGCACCTTTGGGAGGGGACTGAAACAGAAAGAAACATACGCACGAGTGCGAATACACCGATCGAGCCATTAAAGGTATGGTACGGCGTCTGACGTCGTTAATAAAGAATGGCCTTTTTATCCTATCAAAGTCCAGAATGACGCATCAATTTACGTTCGGAAAAAGCTGCTTCGGAGAAGCTTGTAAATAATTTAAATTTTTGTTGAATATTCATGCTAATTTATTCTGGATTTTAATAGATTAATCTAGTGCATTATAGTTCGATTTGGAAATTATTGAAGCTCATGCACATCCGGTTGAATTAACAATAGTATATTAAATATATTGAAACTTGATAATATTATTAATCATTGGTAAAAAAATCATGTAAAAAGTTTTACAATACATTCTGGATAATCGAATTAATGACACTCTGAATGATTCTATAAATGCGGATTATTCGACTGTTAGTCGCTTGAAAAAACAATTTTTCTAGAATCAACGAAGTTTGAAAGTACGAACTATAACTGACACTAGAGTGATCGGGCCTATATATATGTACCTCTAGCATAACGCAGCAGATATGATATATGCATTGCGTGATCGCCTCGCTGGTACCGGATATGGTTACTGCGCGTTCCGTCGAATTAGGCAGCATCTCGGAAGCGACTTGGATGGAGGCACCGGTGACCTCCCGAATCTCCTTGATCTTGGAACCACCCTTGCCGATCAAAGAGCCGCATTGCGAAGCGGGGACTATCAGTCTGAGCGTGATGGGTGGCCTCGACACACCGCCGCCACCGCCGGCACCGCCACCCTGCATGTCGTGAAATTGGGAGCACCATTCCTCAAACTTCTTGCATATCAACGTGAACGCCTTGAAGATCGAGTTCGTCGGCCCGGTGACAGTCACTATCCGCTCCGGGCAGGAACCGTCGGAGATGTTGATTTTCGCGCCGGACTGCGAATCGAGAAAAAAATTATTATCTATCATATATACAAATTATTTTCGATTTCGTACATTACATGTATGGTTCATCAATGTCTGTTATTTTAAGATTAAATTAGTGATAAGCAAAAAAACAAATTTAAGAGAAACGTGCAAAATTTATCTGTCCTTGATATCTGCAAATCCAATTGAAAGACTGTAATAATAATTTACATGCTTTCGTGCAGAATGTCGTGTTTTGATCATCGCATTATGCACGCGACTCTTATTTTTCCTCAAAAGCACATATGCATATCTTGTAACAAGAATGTAATTGATACTTGCCTCTTCGCGGAACCTCTTGACGATCTCTCCTTTTTTTCCGATAATGCTACCGACTTCCTGTAATAAAGTAATATCATATTAATTTTGTGTCATTCTCGTACATTGCTTTTTTCGTAGATCCTGTTACATATTATAATCATTCCAAATAAAGCAGAAATTGTTTGTAAATCTATTAGAAATAAAAAAAACCTCGGTCATCGATCGACTATATATAAATCTATAATCGCAGAAAATATTTTTCTTACGTCACGAACGAATTCTAATTCTATCAAATCTGATGGCGTGTTTGTAGAACCGATCAATGCTCGCAGGAAAATAACTGAAATATATACGAGATGAATGGCAAAATTGATACGACGGATCTATAATTAGCATACACAAGTAACTGATGTCCACTTAGACTTCGCGTCTGACACTGTCCGATCTCAAGATAATGTTACTGTTAAGCCACCGAGAGGACGGTTAGCAGCTATTATTCTTGCGCTATATCTAAACTTAGACTTTTGCCTCCCTGGACGAAATGCCAACGTACCTTGGACATTGAAGTTTCACATATCTCACGTTAGGTTTATCGTTCTTTCGAGTCAATTGGGAGAATCGAAGGCTCGTCGCGTATGAAAAGAAACTCATCTTACGCTGCCTCAGCGTATTGTATCGAATTCAAGATCGAAGCTAGCAAACTTGCAACTACATTTCGCGAATGCTGACCTTAATCAGGTCTGCACGCTTACGATAGTTGTTTTTGGAAGCGAACGTGAATAAATTAGCGACGATAGTCGCGAATTCCTATTGACGTGCACGAGGTTACCGCGATCGGACAAGCGTCACCGTCGACGAATTAGATGCATGCCGAGGCAAATATAGCCGGAACAAGAAGACAGCGAGACGATGAGCGAGGAGAAGGTTTGGCGTTTTTGGCGATGCGCCAGCCACGAGGGTCACCGACGAATCGGCGAGATTGCAAATCCGGGAGATCAGATTGTTACATTATCATCCCAACGTGCACAGAACGCCGTGGTGGCTTCTCCGCGCGGATGCTGCTACCGAGAGAAAGGGAGAGAGAGAAAAATGAGCTATGTATAGCCTCGTTCCATCGGTCAATACTTTGAGTGCGCACAGCCTACTTTTATGAGATAAGATTAAAAGAGAGTTTTCCGATATTGCGTCCTACTTCTGTAAATACCGCATTGTCGTAAAAGGAGGAAAATAGCGAATAGTGTAGTGACAGAGAATTAAAAAATTCATTGTATTCATTGCATTCAACGCGTTAAATGACGTTTCGATTCAAGAAGCGCATCAACGAGAAACGGATAAATAAGCAACAAGTGACGAATGATTAAAGTTATCGGTAACAATTTCGTTATCACATTTTTCACGAAGACTAATCTGCTTTGAAAAAATAGAGAGAGTGTAAGATCGAAGAAACTTTTGGGGACAATCGTCTAGAAGAGGGACTTTCGAGGATTCGCGAGCATGGAACCGGTTGGCCGATGGTCCTGGCTGTGATCCAGCACATCCCGCTGGAGTCCAGGGATTTGTCTGAAAACTGAAAGAGAAAATACCGGGAATGGGTGAAGAAACGCGTCCTCTCCATCGCTCGACTCGAAGATATTAATCGTCATCTCTCGCGACAACCGGGGAAGCTGAACAAGAGTTTGATACTACGTGGCTGAAAGTGAAAAGACAATATCGGGAAAGTCCGACTACTGGTAGATAAGCTCGAGTCTGGACTCGAGCCAAATATTTACGTCGTATACCGGTATCGCGAGATCGGAGAGACACGACCATGACATTGTTCAAAACGAAACAATGACTGAACGAACCTACGAATCTCGCATAAATCTCGATGAAAATTGTAATGCAATCAGAATGATATTCATAAAAGTTGTGCCATTAAGAGATCGGTGCGAGAAAATATGATTATTTCCGAATTAAAATGCCATTGTAATCTTTCGTGCCAACTCGATGATAACTGCAAGGACTCTTATTAAGATCTAACCATTTGCCTATAAAAATTGGCGATTAATTTATTTATCAATTCACATAAACACGCGTATATTCTTTGTATCGCGAGATGAAGTTTACGGAACAAATACCGTTCCATATCGGAGGGATAATGAAATCGCGATAATCCGCGATACATCGGCGGATTGGCTTTGGGCCCTGGCCCGTGTCCCAGAAGACTACAGTCTAGGTAGCAGACATAATACCATCCCGGCCAAAAATGCGGCCAGACGTATTTATTTCGCGCGAAGGAGGCTACTCGACTATCCGTTTACCGATTTGCGAAGCTTCCAAAACGCGTGTTGCAATAGGCAACATTGATGAGACGAGTAAAGAACCGCTAATAAACGTCATCGCGAAATCATGTCCAGAATCATTGCGTGTGAATCGATGACTCGATGACGTGCCGTCTTCACTTTACAATCGCTTCATTAGAAGATCGGAGATGAAAAAATTTGCAATAACATAATACACATATAAGCATCAAAGAATCATGTGCGGTTTTTAAATTTAGTTTAACATGTTAATCATAAGCAATATTCTATGGAAAAATTTCATCCGTGTAATCTTCCAATTGGATTACTTTCCATTTATGATCCAACGTTCGTGATAAATGTACGTAATTAGTAAGAACTCGCTCGTGTCCATCGTTGATTTCCATCCCGCTGCAACTAGATGCAAACAACTCGGGGAAAAAAAAAAAAAAAAAAAAAAAAAAGCCGGCGAAGGGATACATCATGACACCGTTGGCAGCATCTCGTCGAGAAAAACACGATTGCGTGTGTGTAATGAGATTTGTCAGGGAGATATTTTCACGAATAACGGGGGAAAAAGATTCATTTAGACTCAATAACAGAATCAGATGCGACCGAGGTGATTAACAATGCGTCGCGAAGCCCTCGAAAAGAGCGTCTCGTGCGAATCGATCGAGTGAAGGGGGTCGAATCTTAGTCTCTACGTGGCCGAGTATCGTTCAAATGTGCAGAAATATGCAATAATTTCTGTGTCACACTTTAGCACGAACTCTGTAATCTGCATTTCTCTCGCGATTCAATTTCTTACGCGGTTTTATCTCTCGTAAAATTCATCAATTTTCTAAAAAAATCCTAAACCATTTATTTTTTATCGCACATATCCCGTATGTGAGAATTAATGGTATAAATGTAAAATGATGAGAATCGAACTAGAGCTGTTAAAAGGAATCGCTGTATCCTAGAAAAAGCATTAATAGCGAATTGTACAACTTGGCAAGAGTGTAGTCGCCGGGACGAAAAGATCCCGTACGTCGAAAGGGACATCGGACGTCTAGCTAACGCGATTAATTACCGAGACGGCGGACATTAATTACTCGTGCTACGACGAGCGATATTGCACCTCGTGCACGATAATTAATTACAAGCAGAAACGGTGGTAAGTGACGTGTTCCGAGAACGAGGGTAGAACGAGTACCGAGACACGGGCTAAATAAACTTTGACACTTGTCCCGCGCAAAAGGCCAGCTCCGGAGCTATTTTTCCGCTGAGAAATTCCGCGTTGCGATAATCTCGCATAAATGACGTAACCATCGATATACATCGCACCGGATTACGTTACGAACTTTCACTCTTGAATCGCAGGATGAATTTTTTCCGAAGAATAAGCTCGCGAGAAAAGAGAAGCTAATATTTATTATTTTTCCACGTTTATATATTCGTAGAATTAATCAACGTATATTAATCTGACTACAATCGCGAAATTTTTGAGATAAAAGGGGAATTATTGTCAGTCTTGAAGATTGAAGATTAAGAGCTCATAATTGGACGACAAATCGCTAATTGTCACAATCAAATTTGATTCAAGATGTAATATCTCGGACAAAGATAATATGCCACAATACGCCTTTCTTCCTTGCCAGACAGAGAGAGCTAAAACGCATATCGCAAATTACTTTTGCCAATAACCACGGATGCTCTTTCTATCATTGTAGAATTAAAAGGTTTGTGCAATCGTACGATGGCCCTTTACGTTCCATTCTCCGAGATGATTTTTCAATAGTTATCCTCTCTTTTAATCCGTAAATCCTCCAATTGGAATTCCGTAGAAGTCTCCCATTTTATCTTTCTTTAAATATTCTTATAATAATCAAAAAGAATATTAAAAAAATTACTAAAAAAATATACATACATATAAAGTTATAAAAAAATAAGATGAGTGAAATTAAATAAAAAAAGAGACCGATATGAATTTTTCAATATAATCCGAGAGTCATGTAATTTCAATAACGACTTTTTCATAAATAGTTAATACTTCCCGATCATTTTCAATGGAAAATTCATATATACGACATTATCAAAGCAAAAATGCTTTTAAAAAATTGTTTAAAAATGCAGGATAATCCAAGTCTATATGTCGCAAATTCGATATAATCAAACCAATAATCCACTTCGATGCAACACTAATTTGATGAGACACTAAATATATTGACAGTTTAAATATTTATTATGAAATATTAATAATTGCGATAAATGTCAATCTTTTACCAAATTTTCATAAACATAGAAATTAATTCCGAGATCTAGAGCCAAATGCATAGCTCGCTGCCAAATTTTTTTTGCGGTAAAAAATGCACTAGTTATATGATATTGTGTAGAGGCGAAGAATCGCGTAGGGTTTACGCGAGAAGCAGCAAATTCTTGGCAGTGCATCAAACACTCTTCGAATCACATTGCCTCGTGCGCAATGGACGATGCACGCTTCCGATGAGAATTTCGAATAATGTTTTTACTCGACAAACCGACGAGACGTTTCACTCCACATTTAGCGGAAAGGGATCGCGCAATTCGTAACAACGAGTGACTTTAAGTCGCCTTGACACTGACATTACATCTCAGGCGCGGTTATTTAATCCTTAAACGCGGTTAGTCGCGAATTTACTTGTACAAAGTGACGACTTTGATATAACGCAAAACAGCGTTGTCCATGTTTATGAAAATATATTTCTTTCAGAATCTTATTTCCGTTTGTCAAGTGAAAGCTGAAATTGTTCGTAAAATAATAGTTTCGAGGAAAAGAAAGTTCTTGTAATATTTTTGTACGAATATGAACGAGTAAGTCGTAAAGTCCAGCTTTCCTATTTCAATGAAGGAGTTACATTGCGTGGCAGAACTGAAATAATGTGTCGAAAGCGATCGGCCTCTCGTAAATAATTCAATGTAATTGTCAAAAAGAGAACGCCGTAAATCACGAGGGAAGAGAGAAACGCCAATGGTCGTCTCTGAGATTTGTTGCCACGCCTGCTGGGCAATTGTATCTCTCTGTCAGAAGACTGCGACGGATCGACAGGTCATCACATGGTTTAAAGCGACAGCGGATATATCTGCGTACATACATATCTCGTTTTAATTACCATTGAAGCCGTAGTTTTCGAAACGAATCGATACGTATCAAATTTTTTGTATCGACACAATTCTACAATTTTCTGTAAAAAATGTTTGATGCGTGTTTGACATTTCTAAAATAATATGCGGTTCGGGAGAAATCGTATTCGGGACACATAAACGTATATGGATTTATATTTTAAACAAACACGCGCCTCCCCTCGGAAAACCGATATCAGTTGATGCTCTGTGAGAGGCTGTTTGATATGACGAGATTTCGAACACACACACACGTATCCATCTATTTCCGCCCTCGATAATGCATTATCTTATTACTTCTACTTCTCCAATTTCACAGCGTGTCACGCAAGTAATCGTCTCAAATGGCAATGGCCGGTACATATATGAATATAAAAATCAATTTAATATTTAAATCATTCGACCGCAAAAATTGTAGTTTAAAAAAAATTCTAAATTTCAATATATAATTTCTTATAGAAAACATAATCGAAAAACTCGTATGAATCGAATGTATGTAAATGAAACTAAGATACTCGATGACCGATGGAAATGTCAATTTAAACTCGATTAAAGCGGTATCCGATATAGACTGTAATTCGAGGCGCAACTCACTTTGCCCTGCATAATCAGGCGGATGGTCAGGGTGACCGATGGATCATCGTTCAGCACCGGCTTGTTGTCCATACCGTCCATCGCGTGGTTACGGGTCCTGCGGTTTCGATGAGATATCTTCTCGGTACTTGCGGAGGGAAAGGAGGAGGGCGAGGAGGACGGGGGGAAGGTTAGGCGAGTGATTTTGATCGGGGGAGTCTCGGGGGACGTGCTTCTCAAGCGTTCCCAGGTATTCTCGGTCCTTGTACTGAAATCAGAGAAACGTCCAGATTATGAGATCCGTATATGCTTATCTTTTCATTTCTGTCCTCATTTTTTCCAGAACGCGCTCCCGCAATTTTTCAACCAGGAAAGGAAGAAGCCATGAATAATGTCTCGTCGAGGAACCTTGATTGATGCGTCCGTATTTTAAAAGGATAACAAAAAAGAAATAAATCCAATAAGATATCCGTAAACTCGAGCATTATACGACTTGTATATCATCGTCGCGGAATCTATTTATCAGAGCGTTGAATTTTGAAATAAATTGCTCGGAGCAAAATTAGCATGACAATAGCACGCGGCCAAGCAGTCGAGGCGCGGCGATTCCGGGAATGCGATACATCGCCGTATTAACCCGAGGTAGTCTGCTCGAAAATTACTCGAGAATCTAGTGCATGGATCTATGAATCTAAAAAATTGATCCACGTGTCATCCAGCGCGAGAGCGTCACGCTCGATAAATTGCATTCGGCGACCAAAGATCGAGCTCGTTTCGCCGATATCGCGAAAATTACACACCGACGAACAAATTATTCGGCTCGGAAAAAATGGAGAAATAATAAGAATCTTATTTATTTCGAGATAAATCAAGGGATCGAGCGCACAATTTCTCGTTTCACGGTCGATCTCATCTCTTGGCGCGATGCATTTTCGCTCGACGAGTCGGACAGCGAAAATAAAGCTCGCCACCCGACATGAAGAAAGGAAGGGTGCGCGATTTTTTGCGAAAATGCCACGCTTTTTCGTTAGTCCTCGTAAATCGTGAACAATTTCCCAAACAAAAATATGCCGCGCAATCTTTATTCCACAAACTCGGCTATATAATGTGTTTACGAGTCAAAGAGAATATATTTGCGCGTGTGAAAAAAAGAAGGTGATAATTTCGATTCCTCCCACATGTGCCTAGATATCGCTGTAACGGATTTAAAGCAGGGAATAAGGGAAAGAAAATTGTAGAGAGATCACGTAGACGATCACAAGGCATATTATCTCTCGCGGTATTATTTTTCAGTCGGTTATAACGTTAATTACAGCCGCTGCCGATCGATAGGCTGCTGGAAACCTGGCCGAAGAGAGGTTCACCCGAGATATTCCGCTCCCTCTCGAAGGGAAGGAGGCCTAACCGCGCCTCTCCCTTCCTCTCCGCGTCCCCCTTCTCTTCAATGGGGGGCCCCTACGAGCGCGGCATGAGACAGGTTTCCTCTCTCGAATCCGTTACGAACTGCACAGAACGCGTTTCTGGTCGTGCACATTTTATTTCTCTCACGCACGCGCGGAGAGAAAGAGAAAAAGAGAGAGAGAGGGAAAAAATTATTAGCGTCAAAATTTTCCGTTACACGTCCCCGGCAAAAGAGATTAAACGCGTTTGCGACGCGAGGAAAAAGTACGCTCTCGAAAATGTCGAGCCTTTGCATTCCGGATTTAAAGGACACGTTGTTCGGAATTTTTACAAGATTTACGGGAGACATCCCGGGATAGTAAGGTACGCTATAGACGGGTAAATTCTATGGATCTTGAACTTGGCGAGGCATCGATTCCACATGACTCAAATGTTTGCACAGAGAACACGACGGGTCTCTAGTCTGTGTGTATAATGTACGGTATAAAGCAAAGACCTCTAACGCGTCGCACGCGGAGAGACATGACGTGTTTTCTAGTCTCGAGTACGTTTATCGCGTTTCACGGACAGCTTTGCGCAAAAGTTTGCACGCTCGCTTCGCGAGCGAAGCGCGACTTTTTCAGCGACTTTTGTCGCGCACGTTAGTTTTGCATCCGCAAGTACGAGACTAGGTTTCCAGCATTTTACCCCACTTGATTCTCCTCTCCTCTGCAGCTATCCTCCAATTTATCTAAGAGAAAGCTCTTCTTCTTCGATATTCTTATTCTTGTAATTTACAATTTTAAATTTGACTTTTTTTTCAATTAAACTAGAGAGAAAGCTCTTCATCTCGATTTTCTTATTCTTGTAATTTGCAATTTTAAATTTGAATTTTTTTTAAATTAAGCAATATTTATTACTTTTTAATTAACGATATTTGTTAAAAATTTTTTTGAAATTAAACGATATTTATTACTATTTAATTAACGATGTTTGTTAAAAATTTTTTAAAAATTAACCGATATTTATTACCGTTTAATTAACGATATTTATTATTGTTTGATATCAGAGGGAAAATGCCTCGATGATAGATGTTAAGCTATATCGCATTAAGTGTGTCGCGAGCGGGCGCGGTGTGGGAAACGTCATGCGGCCGTCATGCGAGAGCATTTAGGAGAGAAACGGAGTATATTATAGCCCCGCTATCTCCGATCGGCCACACGGACTCCCGTCGTTTCGCTCTGCTGCGATTCGCGATGCAATTGGACTGTGGAATTTAGTGCAATCTTTGCGTTACGTTTAACATAAGTGGACGTTTAACGGCGAGCACTTGTCCATTATTTATTTCCAACTTCTCCGCGATAAAACGCCCCAGGTCAACGCACGCACAATTGATTCTCGGAAGAGAGGACCCGATGAATTTGAAGAGAGACTCGCGACTTTCGTCTCCGTCTTCAAAGTTGTCAATATTAATGTACGAAAGCGACGATGGGGAGATTAATCGATGGACGCCAAACTTTCCTCGACTTAGAACGATTACGATTCCGAGGGAGAGGAATAAGCGATTTAAATCTGAATTATATTCAATATCGGCTAAACGGAGAAATTCGGTCAATCGATTCCGCGATATCAACGTTCCTCTCGTTCCATTTTTCCTTTCTCAATATGAACTAATAAAATAGCGCCATTTCGTCGAAATAAAAGTAGCGTCCGGCGGAATAAAATTGAGTAATGCGATTCTCGATTTAAGTTATACGAGGCCGATTAAAGTAATGACGAAAGCTGTCAAGAGAGGTCGAGATGAAATTATGTCCATGAAAATAATTCCGACTTATTGTCGACTTGAGTCGTGAAATTTTCGAGGAAGCCATTAAAACTTTTCATAAAAGTAAATTGAATACCTTCCCTTTATTCATGACTCGATGACAGGAACAATTGAATAAGTATAGATAAAATCTTTGATCCGATTATCAGCTGACTATCAAATGATTGACTAGACGAATCAAGCGTAATTAATTTTCTCCAAAAGCGCAAATATAATCTTCGAGCGAATAACGCGATATATCATGATTCTAAAAATATGTAATAAAAGATTATAATAGAAAAAGTCTTTCCTCCTCAAGAAAATGAAACATTCCTGCGAGGTAAACAATGTAAATAAAGGAAATACTCGCAACGTTCCCATCGCTTTTAATTTTCTTCAAGACGTACGCGTCACACGCTCGAAACGCGAAGCACCTTGTGTTCTCGGAACACGTGCGTCATCGTAATTTACGTAATTTAAATATAAACGCGTGTCGCTCGAGCGAGAGGACGGAAGATCACGTGGCCGACTTTTGGGCAACGCGAGCCAGAATTGTTCCGAATCTGCGGGCGCGATAAGAATCCTCAGCCAACGATAAGAGTATCGACAACAATATCCAGACATCCCCGATATATCTCGAGGCATCCATCGCATGGTCCCGCTGGCGAGGCGGGATTGGGAGATGTTTCAGAGGCGAGAAACGCGCGCGAGAGACCAACGTCCCTCGCCATCTCTTCCGAGCGCGCGGGTAATAACGGGTGAGAAAACGGCATTGTTCGCCGATGCCGAGGAGCCTAACATGCGGCGCGTATCGAGCGCGCGCGCGGAAAGAGGCACACGCAGCAGATGCATGCGAATCGTCGCTGGTCGCGCGCGCGACCAGAAGCGCCGGTACAGTCGCGGTAGAAAGTTCAAGCCGATGCGTCCACCTTTTCTTCCCTCTCTCTCTCTCTTCTCGATAACGCCTTATCGGAGGCCGTTTACGACACCCGCTCTCTCGAAGAAAGGGACCACGCGTCTCGAAATGAATTTGATACGACACAAAGGGAAACCGGAAACGCGATATCGAGATAGATGATCGTAGACTAGTAATTTTTCTAAGGAATCGCTAAAAAAAAAAAAAAAAAATGTATGAACCCAGGATACCGGTTACGTGAAGGTTAGCTGAAATTATTGTTGGTTAAAGCTAGGTAGCCGCATTTCCGAACGATACAGATGGAATTGGAAGATTGTAGTAAACGGCGGCCGGCGATTGAAGTCCGATCGGTTGCGAGTATCTCTCTCTCTCTCCTTCTCTCCGGCGATCGTTCGATCTGGCAGCGCCCGCTGGCCGCCTCGTATCGACTCGTTCCGTTTAGTCAGAGGCGCCCTAAGACCACGAGAGCCGTATCGACACGTACGGGAGCACGAGACGGAGCTACTTCGCGTCGATACTGTAAGGACGAATCGATGTAAAGAGACAGAGAGAAAGAGAGAATGTTCGAGCGCGTGGAGCCGGTGAAGGCGTCGCTTGAATTCGACGACGCCATGCGAGGATGAAAGAGAGAAAAATGGTGGAGCACGTTTTTTTCTCTCTTCGGAAGTCTCTCGGCAACGCGACCAACGTGGCCGCGATATTCGCCTCTTCCATTTTTGACATTTTTTTTTTGCGAGTCCGCGGATCGGCGGAAGGAAGCGCGTTCGCGCGGCCGACGACGGGCGTCGGGAACACGCTTGTGTCGCCGGTGCATCCGCGGCACGAGCGTTAATGATGGCGCGCGATGGAACTCGAGGAACGCCATCGCTCGTCTTCGTCGCGTTGCTCTTCGATCGTCGCGACGGGGTGCGGTCGCGTAGACGAGAAATTATTCCGCGTGTATATATGTGCGCGTATGTGTATGTGTGTGGATAAAACGATTTACCTAAATGCACACTGCTCGGTTCATCAGGGGGGAGGTACAGGCGGCCTCATCGATACACACTGCACTCGACACGCGGGGGTAGAGGGAGAGGGGTGGTGGCGAGAAGAGAAGGAAGTAAAACACTACACTACGCGACACTTTGCGAAACTGCACCACCTCGGCGGAACGCGGTCCTCGTTCTCTCTGCCACGGCCGTGAGACCGCCAGCTCCGTTTCCGACGATGCGCGGCGCTGCGTGCGTCGCTCACCGACTACGTCGCCCGTAAGTGGCGCCACCTACGCTCCCGCGCAGGCTCGCGCCGGTGGCGGCAAGTACGAATCGTTCGTAGCGCGCGTCCGCGTTCCAACTCCTCCCTCTCTTTTTCTATCTTTAATCTGTCAATTGTTTCAAGTACTTTTCAAGCGGACTGATTGGAAATTTAGATCGGAAAATTAAAAAATAACATCTAAAAATAAAAGTAAAGAAAAAAGACTTGTATGACTCCCCCTCTTGGTTTTTCCTAATTTTGAAATTTTTTTAAATTATTCAAATAAATTGATTTGAAATTTAATCGATATAGAAATATTGAAAAGATATACGTGAAGAAAATAAAAAATAGAATTTAAAAATAAAATAAAAGTAGAAAAGAGATTTATTTTCTACAGTATAAGACTATTATAGTTCTCTCATTTTAAGCTAGCAAAAAACAAAATTAAAATTATTATTAAAATTTACTAGTAATTAAATAAAGCTACAAAAAATTTGAAAAACGAAAATACTTCTCAATAGTGTATAAAAATATTATATATTTTATTATATATTTCTCTTAAATGGATTAATTTGAAATTTAGTCGAATTTTAAAGAAACGTACAAATATTTATATAAAAGAAATTTTAAAAACTGAATTTAAGAATAGAAAATTAAAATAAAAAAATAGGAGGCAGAAAAAGAGAGATTTATCTTTTACGAGATTATTACGTTATTTCTATTATAATCTTTTTGATTCATACTATATAAAACGTTTATATAATTTATTGATTAAAATATTATTAGTAAGATTTAATAACAATGAATATTAATACTCTTTATAAAATCATATACTTTTTTAATATAAGAGAAACATAATAATAGCACAATAAGATATAATGTTACTTTAGATTTTAAATTATATGACAACTTAATTATAGACGAATCATATTTGAACTTCTCAAAAATAAAGCATTTAAAAAATTTACATTTTTGAATAAAAAAAATTTATTTAATCTCGAATTTTAATTTCATTAAAAAGATTTCTTAAATAATTTCATTTTTAATTCAACCTAACATACGTTTCTTAACATTAAAAAAAATATGCATTTAATTAAAACGTTATCTCCAATACTCTTCATTTTTCAAATGCTTTAAAAAGATAAGGTTTTCATTATTAAAGAAATATTTTAAGAGTTTTTGCGAAAAATATTTTAAAATTACAAAAACCTTATTATACATGTATAATATTATTACTTATATTTCTGTATCTTAATAAGATTTTTTTATAAATATTCGTATGAAATGTTTGCGTTTAGCATTATTTCATTACGTAGACTTGCCTATAATAAGGAATTTTAAAAATAAAAGAAACAGAATTGTATATTACTATATTATTAAAAAAATTAATATTAATATTTTAGTATAACTTTCTAATTCTTGCTTAATCTGCTTATCGTATTTGTGGTTCACATTTCGCGCAACATCTAATGGTAGATTATTTCACGTGTTTCAAACAATTCGACCAAATGCGTTATACGCTACTAATTGTTTCGTATGCTCACGCTACATTACCTGCGAATGAATTTAACTGACGTTCAACGAAAACTCGATTACCACGTTTTCCCCAACTGTTCTCTTTCTTTTTCTCTCTTTCTCTCTCTCTCTCTCTCTCTCTCTCTCTCTCTCTCTCTCTCTGTCTCCCTCTTTCTGTCTCTGGTAATTCAACTTTCCTATGGACTTGAAGGACGGTCAGTTAAATAGGTCGTTCGTCGAAGGTGTAAAAGTGAACGTTATCGAAACTTAATAATGAAACTATATAAATCAAAGAACAACACCATCCGAGACAATGCGAGTAATCTCGAAGTGACTGGATTGAAATTTTTATCGACAAACCGCGCTAAGCGCATTTCATGTTCTATAGAAGATATGCAAAAATATATAAATGTCTATTATTGAAATCTCTTTTCCTCAGCTGTCTCTCGCTTTTGCCCTCAAATTGAATAATAATGTCGCCCAAAACAAAATCAATTGTACATTAAATAAATTGTTTTGTTTAAAGCAGTGTGGAAAAAGAGGAGGGGAAATAATGATTTTGCGCGAAAAAAGTTCATTTTAGAAATGCTTTTTATTTTGGACCTATTGTTTGCGCTCTTGCTTCTCTCTTTTTCCTTGTCTGCAAGTAAAATGTTTTTATTTCAAGCGAAATCGTTTTTACCTATGAATAAAAAACAGTTTTACTTAATTTTTTTAAATTTCTGACTTACAAAACTTGCATTGTGAGAGTTTAAAGAAATCGTAAGGAACATGCGATTTCTTAAACGCATTTCAAATCATATCTGCATAAATATGTCGGGTCAACAATTAAAAAGTACGACATAGTATCCGTTTCTATTGCGAATCTAATTCTGAAATTTATATTGCTTATTCAAATAAAATAAATACCTTTTTTCCCTTATTTTTAACTAGATACATGAGCACAACTTTTCTTGCTGCGATGTTTTTAGAAGGCCGTTTCTTCACCGCAACGGTATGCCACAGATATGCAACCGGAAATTTAATTATCATTTTAAATGCGCGGAAAGCAATTATCGGAAATTTAGTTCGAAATGGCCAATAAACGGCCTTGCTAGAGAATAATAGTAAACGCCATTATTTTAACATTGAATGAGCAAGCTAGAAAGAGCTTATCGAGAATTCCTTCTTCACAACTATTTCGATTGTATGCATGTTATCTCTCACTGTAATCCAAATCAAACAAATGTCAATAGGTTTTCACTGGATAATATTTTATAGCTTCTGACATTAAACATGTGTAATATATGATTAATACTAAAATAATATTAAAACTAATAATCAATTATACTTTGTTATAATAACAAAGTATAATTACATATAATAATCAAGAGATAAACTTGAAATCCCGATAAAATCTATTGAAATTAAATAAAAGATGGAATTATATTACACATATCTGCAATTTTTATTCAACTCGTCCAATAATGTACGAAATAATGTCAGTAGATTTTTTCCTGGATAAGTTGCCAGAGGAGAAAATTTTATGTCATAAGTTATTGATAAATTTATCAAAAATTGTGTCACAAATTATCGATAAATATCAATCATTTTTTATAGATACAGATTATTTTATTTAACGTATTTTTTATGTTTCAAATCTCTTTCTATTTGACGTCTATGAATGTATATCTATATTGTTACATGAAATGTTTACTTATCGATAAATTTTGAATAAATAAGAGCATATTTTTATATTTTCCATTGATTCTGTACAAAAATATATAACATGAAAAAGCAACATCTGTTTATACGCAGTACAGATCAATATTATGCAATACATGCAATATTAAGAGTGTGCAGCTTAATCAAGAATATTTTCTGCGCAGATATTAATACATATAGATATAAATCAATACGCATGCTCTAAAAAAACGAATGACGAAACGAAAGAATATTCGAAAGGTTGTTATTATTACTAACAATCCGAGTCAATTATAATATTTAATTTAAATTATAATAATTATAATTATAATATTACAATTAATTATTACAATTAAATTAAATTATAATATTTTATTTTATTTAATTTATTAAATTATAATAAATTTCAAATTTTTTTGAATGTGCTGATTCGCAGGAGAAAAAACGAAAAACTAATCGATCGGAGCAAGCCGGATCATTGACATTTTTTGCCGAAAAAGAGAAAATAATTATTGAAATAACGATTCTCTCTAAATTGATCAGCGCGCGATTTTTTCCTGTTTATGGACTAGAACCGGAAACACTTATTAATGAACTTCCATCGTGTAAAATTCATTCTGCAAACGTTTACATTATCGACAAAATGGAGATCGTATAAGCACGCGACGATGAATAATTTATTTTATTACTAGCGAACGACAAAAAGCAATGCTCGTAAATGTAAGTGCTTCATAAAAGCGGAAAAAGGACTCGCGTAAATGGTATCGCGATATAAGCGAGATTGTCGTCATGAAAACCAGATCGTCGGATTGTCTCTCTTGTATTCTTTTCTTATCCCAAATTAGTCTTTGTTCTTTCATCGACTCCAAAGATCGGACTTCGGAATCGAGATATCGTAATCGTAAAGAAAACTATAAAACGGCTCTCTAAACTCGTAGTTTCTCTCTACATTAATCGCATGCAGTTCAACAGTTATTGTCGACTCGCTTGAAATTGTTTTATTTTTCAATGCTTGAGATCTCGAATCTTTCTCTTATTTTTGCTGCAAACTAAATAATTATTTATAAAATAATTTAATTATATATATAATTTAAGATAATTTAATTTTTGAAATAATTTAATTACAATACTTGATTTCATATTCTCTGTTCTTCTCTGCTCCATTCTTTATACAATTAAATTTCTTAACAGATTAAAGAACGGGAGATAGGAGTAACTCAAAGAAATCCACGTGTCAGGAAAAGTTTTCACGAGATCAAATGCCTAATAAAGTTTCCCGTGATCGAGCAAGAGTGAAAGTCTTGGACGTTATTGGGTTTCGGATTTCATTCGAAGATTTTGTCGTTATAGAGATGCTTAAAGCGCTCGTAATGCTTAGTTTCCCGGTGAATTTACTTAAAATGTAAATTAAGTTTGAATCCGGAGTCTCGCGCAAAACCGCACCGACCGTTCGCGGTGAAAGAAGACTAATTCTATTTTGGTTTAAACTCGAGTTCAAGTTTGGCACCGGCATCCAAAACGAGATTATTTTGCAATCTTTATTCGCTTCGATTTATAATCATAATCCTGCTGTGAGCTTGATATTTTTTAACGAGGCTGCTCTTGAAAAAAAACATCATGTGTGTATAATGTTTTTCTTTTATAAAATACGTATCATGTATGTGTAATTTTTCTTGTATAAAATATTTAAATCAGATGTCGACAAAAAGATTGTGAAAATTAGGGGTGAAGTTATAATGCGACATTCTGCAGAGAAAGTATAGACTACCCT